ATATAAACGTAACATAATGGAAGAGTGTTTCTTTCTTCATGTGTGTTTCTCCTGCCCAGTAACTTGGGAAACCAGGCTCTTCCTTTTTAGTGGTTCCTAGATGTGCAGATCTTTGGGACCCTGCAGTCCTGCATTGGACCCTCTGAACTCGCTAGAGCCAGGCGAGAGCATGGAGGACACATGAGAGCTCTTATGGACCACCACCTAGAAGGTGATGCTTGCTGGTTTCCCCCACAGTTCCTTGCCAGAGCTTGTCACCTGGCCCCAGCCTAATTGTGATGGCACCTGGTGATTGCGGTCTTCTGTTTATTCTTGAAGAGAAAGTGTGTTCAGTGAGCACATAACATTACCCCTGCCCGAGTACCACGGTAAAAATGTATTAATTTCCTTTTTCTTATTACCTCGTTTGAATGGACAATGAACAGTGCATTTGTATTTAAACGATCTGAAAGAGAGGAGGAAAGAAAGGACTCAGGTCCCGGTTTGCTGGAGCTCTTACTCCTGTTATTGGTGTGAGAGGGTGTGTAACCTCCCTGGGGGGAACTGGGCATAGTAGAAGTGCGGGACCCGCAGATGCACCCTTGTAGGCTGGAGGCGGTAGAAGCCAGGACTTCCTCAGGTACCTGCTTGCTTTAGGCATGAGAAACAGGGTTATGCCGCAGTCACCAACAGCCTCCAAAGTCTCAATGCCCCAAATAAGGCTTATTTCTCACGTTAAAAGTCCAACGGGGATCCGAGGGATGGCTCGGTCCACGAGAGTCACTCAGCAACCGCCAAGGGAGCTGCTAACACTCACAGGAAGCTTCAGGGGTCCCCACAGGCTTCTGCCTGGTGTCCCATGTCACCCCCCACTCATAGTTCATTGCTGAGAACTGGCCACTTGGCTTCAGTCGCCCAAAGGAGCAGAGGAAATTAACCCCCTGTGGAGTCAGGAGTAGAGCAGAACTGAATATTGGTGATGTCGAACTACCCGGTTGTCTGGGCTGAATGGTCTACTGACTCCGTTTACTTGGAGCAGAGTGCGTCATCTCCATTCTTTCCACTGTTCAAAAGATGGCTCTTGCTCGCTGCCAAGTGTGTGCGTTGGAGCTGCCATAATAAGGTACCACAGACCAGGGGCTTAGGCAACAGAAACTTACCGTCTCCTCGTTCTGGAGGCCAGATCAAGGTGTTGGCAGGGTTGGTTCCTTTGGAGGCTGTGAGGGAGAGTCTGCTCCAGCCGCTCCCCTTCAGCTGTGGATGGCCCTCTTCTCTTTGTGTCTCCTCACATCATCTCTCTCTGCATGTCTCTGTCAGTTTCTGAACCTTTTTAAATAAGGCCACCCGTGCTCTTGGATGAGGGGCCCAACCCTACCCTGGTATGACCTCACCTTAACTAACTACATCCTCAGCATCCTTACTTCTAAATCACCTTCTGAGATCCTGGGGGTTAGGACTTCAACGTATGAATTCTTTTGTGGATGCAATTCAACCCGTAACACACAGGGAGGGGGCTTCCCTGGGGCTCCAGCCATCGGGATGCGGGGCAGCCTCTCCCGTGCTGACTGCAGCCACATGGACTTCCTGCCCGACCCAGGCAGGTGCGGATTCTTCCTCTCTGGTGCCACTGTACTTTGTGCATACCTCTGCTGCTCCATGGGCATTACCTTGAATTGTTTAATTAATGAGTTTATTTCCATTTTCAGCCTGCGGTCTCCTGTAAGATGGGGACACCCTATTTTTGTCCTGGAGCCGAGCTGGGTGCCTTGTCTGATGGTTAGAGCAATGTACTTTGGAGGTTGAAACGTGAAGGTCTCCACTCTTACGGCGTCAGCCCAGGGCCACAGAGGGGTTATTTGTGGTGGTAGGAGTACGGGTCACCTTGGGGGAACTGAAGGCAAGTGATCAGACACCACGCCCAGAACGAGACCATGCTACATTTTAACAATACTCAAAATGCAAAGGGAGATCACCAGAGAGAAAATAAATGGGCTCATTTTGCTTTGTTTTTTAAAAGCAATGATACGCGTGAGAGAGGCAGTCTCTTGCGAGATTTTAATAGCAAAACACCAGTAAACCTAGAAGCTCTGTTTTGTGATAGTGTCTAAATCCAGATTGTTTTTTTTTTTTTTAGATTTTATTTATTTATTTGAGAGAGAGAATGAGAGATAGAGAGCACGAGAGGGAAGAGGGTCAGAGGGAGAAGCAGACTCCCCGCTGAGCAGGGAGCCCGATGTGGGACTCGATCCCGGGACTCCAGGATCATGACCTGAGCTGAAGGCAGTCGCTTAACCAACTGAGCCACCCAGGCGCCCCAGATTGGTTTTTATTAACGCGATTTTGCTTCAAACCATGAGGGGATGAAAGACAAAAAGAAAGAAGAAAGATTAATAATTAACATCCAAGAAAAGACAGATTTTCGGTCTGATTAGGTGTTGGAAATGGACAGTCACATTGCTAAGTGAGGCTGCTGGACTGATGAGGGACTTCCCCCCCCATTCATTGTACTCTGGAAAGTGGTAAATATGCAAAATCCCTGCACAGCAGAGAGACCCTGTTCACACCCTGCGGGTGCAGTGAGATCCCTCATAAAGACTGCTCTAGCATATGGCAAGATATGTAGGCGCTCCGTAACTAACCCTCCTTCTCATGTGCTACTGCGGCTTGTCTTTTTCTTTTTCAAAGATTTTATTCATTGACTGATTGACTGGGGAGCAGGTCTTTCTGTTGCAGACTCCCAGAAACACACCCACTTCACAGGGTCAGCCAGGCCAGAGGGATTCTGGCGACAATGGGACATCTAGATTATGACCACGAGCCCAGCTTAAATCCCTGTAAGGGGATGGTGTGGGGGCGACGGGGTATTTAGCTGCTGTCCGGGTCGGCCTGCTGGGCTCAGCTGGGCCGGGCCACGAGCTCTGCTCTCAACCCCAAAGGAAGGGTCTGCATCGTGGTGCCTCACAGAGGCCGGCATTCCCACCTTTGGGGGAAGTGGGTGGTGTACTTGAGCCTCTCTTGTGTCACTGCAGGGCCCTCTGGCCTGGTGGCTTCCCAAAAAAAGGCTAGCTGCAAGGTGTGTTGAACCTCTCCAGGCTAGAAGCAAGCACCCAGCCAATGCCCCCAGCTTCTGCGGACATCCTACCTCCTACACACTGTATGTTCAAGATACTGAGATTTCTCCTTCCTTCCTACAGGCTTTAAAAGAAGTCTTAATTTTATTTGATTATCAGATGTCTGATTTTTATATAACCAAAGTGATTGATATTTTCTTTGTGACATTTTCCCCAATACTTTTATGCGTAGGAGGTCCCTTATGGATTTTCTTTCCACTTGTTTTTCTAATCCATCCAGAATTGACTTCTGATGATAAATGTGCCATGAAGATCCAAGTTTATTGTTTTTCCCAAATAGCTAGCTGATTTTTACAGTACCCAAAGTGGAATAAGGTATCACCACCCCACCGATTTGGGCTTTCTGTTTTTTAACCCGGGGTGTATGAGCTATACTATAGGTGGTATTCAGGACAGGTGAAGGCCAGGGCCAGCCAACCCAGTGCATGAACAGACCAAGGAGCCCAGGAGGTGACAGAGGACAGTGCCAACAAGAAGCTCCTGCAAGGTGACCTCATTATATGGCCATCGGGGCACAGACTCCAAAGCCACGGCTCCTGCCTAAGTCACTTGGAATGACTCTGAACTTAGGCAAAGCAGGTGAATAAGTGCCACAGGCATGCTGCCATTGGAATTCTTAGGAACCTAAAATAATCCTAAAAACTCGCCTTGTTTTCCTTACTAGATGGTTAATTGCACCAGGAAGGTGGCCATGTGTCTGAGCAATCTTCCCGACTACCCCAGCAGGAGTGGCACACCTGGCACAGGACAGATGACCCGTGAGGGATTTGCCAAGGCGGGGTTGAAGCCACATCACCCTCTGCCATTTCCATTGCTACCAGCCGCGCTGAGCCCCGCAGTCGGCGAGAATGGGCGGTCCACTTTTCCCAGCAGACCAAACCCATGCCATGCATCCTGTTCACTGTTTAGCTTCTACCCCCGCGGTCCTGCAGTTGGAGGAAATATTTCTAGCATTACTTCCCTGGGCAAACAAGCAAGCGAGCGGGCACAGGCAGACGCCCTGTGACCCCAAATACCGGCGAGACAGTGAGTCTCGGTTTACTGCTGGAGGATCCAGAGCAGTGGGCCCTTGGCTGGAGGAACATAAAGGACCGTCCTGACTTACATGTGACGATTATAGATGAGCTAACACATGGATGTCTTTTCCTTTTACTAGGTACCAGATAAAGCAAATTAATTTTTGTATCAAGAGAAATTTGGGATGAAAAAAATGGAGATACTTCAGATGAAAGCTGTTTATGGGATAATTTTCTAATACATTAAAGGTTTGCGTGTGCACGTATTTTTATATCTGATGTCTGTGCATATATTATAAATGTACATATATTATATATCAAATATATATATCCATGCATTGTGAATGACATTGGGTAGAGCTACCACATCTGATTAAAGGAAATAGTTCTGTGTCTTCGGAGAGGGATTTGTACTAGGTGCCCACCCACCTATTGGCAGCAACTTACAGATACTTCTGTTTGGTTATATTGTCTCAGTGTTCAGTTATGGTTAATTTTTTAAAGCAGTACAAGCTTACTGCAGAAAATCTGAGAAATATGAGAAAGGCGGAAATGAAGGAGAAAAACATATATATATTGAGTGGATTACTCTTATTTTAAGGTTGTGGGCTAGTGGTAGAGTCAGAGATCGGGAGGGTCAAGTGCCTTGGCCAAGGAGGGGTCTGTAGGAGGTGCAGAAAAGAGCCGCGGGGACCTGCTCTGGTCGTCCAGGGTCTGTCCTGGGGTGATCTTCCCGAGCACACACTCAGCGCAGACGGGAAACTGCACATCTCCACTGTCCATCAGGGAGAAGCCTGGCTTCCAAGCTCCACGAGGATTTGCGCGGCCCGGCCGTCCAGGGAGCCCATGCCTGGCTTTCTCTTTTTATTCCCAGACAGGAGTCATTTCCTTGTACGACTGTGTTTTTAACAAGAGCCCAGGCTACGATCAGAAACTTCACCGAGACGACAGAGAACATGCAAAAAGCCTGGGACTTCATGTGAACGAGGAGGTAATGTGAAGACCGGCTGCTGACCCAGTGCGAACAGATGAGCTGTGAGCGTGTGCATCTCTCTTTGCCAGCGTGCTGTGCTGACTCTCGCGGGTGGCCCTCCTCCTTGCCGCCCCCGGGGCTGGACTCAGCCGCTTCCAGCTCCCTCTCTTCTCCTTCTGTGTATTTGTTTCTGTGACTCTGTGGTTTCGTTTAGTTAACAGCTTAATCAAGGCAAAACTAAGAGGTCTTTTCAGCAGATAAAGCAGGTTTTTGCTTCACTTCTGAGTCCTGGCCGCCCTGGTTCTCCCACGGACCCTGGGAGAATAACAAGAATAGGCTCCCTAATTTAGGTACCGGCCTCCAACCTCCACGTATGGGGCAGTTCCTCCTTTGGGTGTGCGCGGCTTTCTGGAAGGGGCTCGGCCTGAGGTCAGCTGCACAGCTGTGTGAGCAACAGAGGAGCAAAACTCCCAGGCCCCAGGGAGGGGAGGTCGGCGCCACGGCAGGTGGGTGCCAGGAGGCGGGCGTCTCCTTAGGGGTGAGACCCTCCTGGTGACTTCCTGCACTTGGGACACGGTCTCCACGGAGTCTGATCTGAGGACAGCATGGCTATTAAGAGCCAGGTGCTGAGTAACTATCATCATCTTTTCTACAAGGCACAGGAATCGGAATGTAAGAGCCTCTGCTGGGATTTCTTTCTTGGTCAGCGGATTTTTGCCTGTGGCTGCTATTGTTAAGAATGCTGGGGGCGCCTGGGTGGCTCAGTCCTTAAGCTTCTTCCTTCGGCTCAGGTCATGGGCCCAGGGTCCTGGGATCGAGCCCCGCGTCGGGCTCCCTGCTCTGCGGGGAGTCTGCAGCTCCCTCTCCCACCCCCCCCCCCCCCGCTTGTGTTCCCTCTTTCGCTGTGTCTCTCTCTGTCAAATACATAAGTAAAATATACAAGAAAAAATAATGTTGCCATGTCACTTCCAGGCAAACTTTATTTCGATGGGAAGTTAAGTGGTGAACTATGAGGTATAACTACTTAAGTCACAGACATTAGGTGTCTTCCTATTGTTTTTGTTTATGTGAGTTCATTCCAAGTTGGCAGTGACTTGGCTAGCGCTTTCCTGTCGTAAGAACACCTGTATCGCGCCCCACATTCTGAGTGCCTCCCATGTGCACTGAGCACAGAGGGGGGAGAAGAAAGTCCCTGTCCTCTTAGAGCCGACGTTCCTACGAGGAAATAGAAAAATATACGTCCTATACGTAGGGAACTGAATTCCAGGTCGTGGTAAGGGGTGTGCAGAGAAATAAAGCCTTTTAAGGGGCACAGGGAAAGTGAGAGGAGATTGGGGAGCTGGGGAGGGAAGGGGGTCGGGAGATGAGGGGGGCTGGGAAGGTGGGGGGTCAGGGGAGATGGGGTGCTGGGAAAATGGAGGGGCAGGGAGACGGTAAGGTGGGGGGCAGGCAGGACGACAGCGGGAGGGCGGGGGGGGGAGAGGAACACCATCTGAAGTGAGGGGGGGAGAGGGCGCCTGGTGCCGGTGCAAGCTCTTTGCCTTTCCTCTGAGTGACATGAAGGACTTGGGGGCCATGATGGGCTCGGAGGGACAGGGTGTGACACAGTTTGGGCGCCGCCCCCCCCCCGGGGGCATTAAGAAGCACGGCCGGAGCAGGTTGCAGGTGTGCGGTGTGCCAGGCAGGGAGGGCTTCCAGGACACAAGGTAGGTCATGTGACCCGGGAGGTGCGAGCTGACCCCGTGTTCTGGTGACCCCGGACAGGAGCGTCAGCGGCCTGTGGGAGTGCTGATGTCCTCGGTCTATGGGAGGCGCATACACCAGCCCGTGGAGCCCCTGAACCGGGACCACAGCCGAGCCAACCACGTGAAGGCTGACTTCTACAGGAAGAACAACATCCCCAGCATCAAGACGCCTGGCTTTGGACACATTTCTCCAGCCTGACGCCCCTGCTGTGGCCTGGACCGAGGGGTGGCACAATCGGGCAGTGCCGGGGCCTTATGTCCCCCCCTCCCCCCGCTTCACTGGGGTCAGGGAGCTGGCCTGAAGCTGCTTGCGCCTGGACAGTGGGGGGTCGGGCCTGGGAGCCCCTTTTCCTCATGTGGCCGTGGTGAAGACCCTGGCCAAAGGCCTTTACTACCTGTGATGAACATCTCCGTGGGACCATGTCAGCTGAAATGATGCCGGAGACTGATCCATTGTGAGCACTTGAATAAAAGGAAAAGTGTTCCCACTTGACCACGGGTCTGGTGATTCTGTTCACCGTTTCTCTGGTTTGCTGGGCTCCGGGGGGCGCTCCCGGGAGGGGCGTGCACACCCTTTCTCACCAGCTGTGGAAACCAGGGCTGCCTGAGTCTTCCTTCCTTCAGGAGGAGATATAATGCTATCTCCTTTTGGAATAATTGAGCTGTAGATCCTACAACACCCCCACCCCCCCCCCGGCGGACTGAGCTGTAAATAACACAAGATTGCACAGTTGAGGACAAAAGCCTGGTAGGGATGGGTGGCCTCTGTGGCCAGTACTGCCGCTGTCCCTCCTCGCCTCAGGTCCTGGGAAGAGATTGGGCGTTGGTGTAAAATTCTGGCTCCTGCCCTTCCCGGCAGCAGGGGCACAGAGCCCATCATTTCACTGATCGGAGCCCACCTTTCCCTCTCTTCAAGTGGGAGTTCCAAACTGTGAGGAGTGTGCGTGGGACTCAGTGGTCCAAATGCAGGCACGAGAGCCTAGGACAGTTCGTGTGAATAGTTTTCATTTTGGAAACACCTGCTTCTCACCCAAGTTGGAAATGTTTATTTTGGAGATAATTTGAAACTTATTCAAGTATTAAGATATCGGCTGTATTGTTAATGACTCGGTCTCTTGAAAGAAATCATCCCTCGCCTATCACAATTACATTTCCCACAGCTTAGTGGTTAATGAGCAGGTGATCTAATTAATTTTACTGCTGATTTCCCCATGGCTGGTTTTATTGTTTTGATTCTCTAAGGACAAATGACACTGACTTATTGACAATTTCAAGGCCAAGGGACCCCCTACGTATTTTATTCTTTTGAAAATTTTTTTGTTTTCACTTGTAGGTGCCTTTTATTATTTTTCCTCCCAAACACATAGCTGTAGTTTATTTGGGATGCCTTTGGGTACCTTAAGCTGTATTTTATAATAATATAATAGAAAAATATATCAAGTTTGGATTATGGAAATCTTTATCAATTACTCTTTCTTCAGTTTTGACTACCATGCAGGACAAGGCATCTCTAAGAAATGCCTTCATCTGAAAGTGACTACAATAAATCTATGTCAAACTAAATTATTTTCAGTTACTTTAAGTCAGATCTTACTCCCTTAACCTTCTACTTTTAAAAAGCAGGGCCTGAATTGGACAAGGTTTTGAAAGGTCTCCTGTTTGTTAGGCATCAGGGGAAAATTAAAATGTATTTCTGTTGGCATCTTGACTTCTACAGCTTAAAGCCAATGAGGGCCCAGTCAGTCGCCTTATAAAAGAGAAACATAATAAAAGAATTTGTTTCGATGTATCCAATCTCCATGGTTAGTCTATCTTTCTTGGAAGGCAGAGTGGTGGCTGTCCTTAAGAAAGCATAACGGGCGCCTGGGTGGCTCAGTTGGTTAAGCGACTGCCTTCGGCTCAGGTCATGATCCCGGGGTCCTGGGATCAAGTCCCACATCGGGCTCCCGGCTCAGCGGGGAGCCTGCTTCTCCCTCTGACCTTCTCCCCTCTCATACTGTTTCTCTCTCTCTCTCTCAAATAAATAAATAAAAATCTTTAAAAAAAAAAAAGAAAAAGAAAGCATAACGAGCTGGGGACAAAGGGCAATGTGGAGGATTTGGGACAAGGCAGACATTTCTAAACAGATGTAGGAAACGCAGCAGGTTTAATGGGACTACATGCAAGGCATTTTCCTGAGAGAGGGCTTTCTGCAAGACTCGAAGGTTGAGAACGTTGAGGAGAGATGCTTGCTTGCTGCCAATGTCGCTGGGCTGCCCGGCCGTCTGCATGGTTTGCTCACAGGCATGTATGTAGCTCCAGAGCTTATGAAGCCTTGACCAGGAGGCACGCTTTCAGCTTTAGGGAGCAGGCTGTTTTGCATTCTAGGCTCGTCTTGGTCACTGATCGCTGGGAAGCTCTAAACAAGCCCCTGGTCCTCTCTGCACCCGTTTTCTCATTTGGAAAGCACAGCGGGGCTCAGACTGGGGACTGGAGTCCCCTGGAGAATGTGTTCCCTAAACACAGTGCGTGTGCTGGGCCCCACCACCAGGACTTCTGACTTGGCGGGTCTGGGTTGGGGCCTGGAAAAGTACAGGTCCCCAGGGGTTGCTGCTGCCGCTCGTTGGGGCCCATACTTTGAGCAATCCGTGTGTGCGCAGACCTTTGCGAGGTGGACTCTGATAATGACTTTGATTGCTTTATAAAGTGTCTTGTTTGGTAAGCCTGGCAATATTGGGAAAAAACAAGTCTCCTTTTGAGTTTTCACCAAACTCAGCACATCCTTAGTGGGGGCAGACAGCCATGCTTAAGCACGCTTGGCAAGTCACTCAACTGTGAGTGTCCGCTAAGGGGAGGTGACATAAAGCAGCTTGGGATAAGTGCTGCAGACTCTCAGGGAGGAAGGACCCACGGGGTACAGCTGCCAACTGTGGTTACGAATGATACAGAAGGCCATTCTCAAGTCATTGAAACCCCAGGCCTTCCTAGTCCGGATCTCCATTAGAGCAAAGACAGAAGCCATTACACTAGCTTTCTTCCTTTGGTCACCTTTATGAGAATTAAGTGTATCAAGGCCAATGCTGAGATGCAATTATAGAATCAAAATATTCCTGACTGAGGCAGGCAATGGACCAAGTCATGCTGTATTCCCACTTGGGTGACGGAGGCCAGTTACTAGGTTCAAGAAGTGCTTTCACCTGAGTCTGAGTCAAAATCCTGGCATGGAGGCTCTGGGTAGCTGCCAGGCTCTCTCACAGTCTTTAGCTCTTTCACTCAGACCCGATCCCATAAGCTATCAACGAGGATACACCCCTAAGAGAAATTAAGAGATATGTTCAGTCACACAGTCAATAAATGGTCAGTCCGGAATCAAACGAGGGCTCGTGCTCCGGGTCTGAGTTCCCAGGAACAAGCTGTTCCTGACAGATCGGGGTCCCCCACGGCTCACAGACGCCTGCCCTGAGCTGGGAGGAGAAGCCGGGCGTGCATCTGTCGTTTTGCTTTTGAACATCAGATTATGCATGATTGCTCTATTTTTCACCCTTTGACAAAGTACGATTTCTTTATGCGAAGGAAAAGCCCCAAAACTCTAGAGTTGGATTTACATGAGCAAAATCTCCCAAGTCTTCTCTCTTCAAGAATGTGTAACATTGGCTCTGTGCCTTCTTAAGCCTCCTCAGACTAACAGGCATCTTACGGGGCCTGGCAGCTTCTTCCGGTGAGTCCAAACTATTGTGTTGGCTGCTGATGTAAACAGTCAGTGCCAAATTATTCTCCCGCAGCCTGCTCCTGATGGTTGTACCAAAGCATTAAGGCAGACCAGAGAACTCGGACAGAGAGAGAGGGTGTTGCTGCTGGTAGAGGATCCTTTCACTGTTAAAATACATCTTCCCAGAAAATGTTCTCTGGAGATGCCAAAGTGAAAACCAGACCGCATGACAACACCGAGCATCTCCAGGGAGGGGCGGGATCAAGTCTGTGCATCACAGACTTCGTCCTGATCTGAATTGCTCAAAGATAGGTCAACCTTTGCTTCCTGGGACCTCTTTCTGCAACACCCATCAAGCAGGAGAATGGAAGACAAATCCCAATTCTGGAGTGGAAGCCGCAGGAGAGGGAAGAGCGGTGGGCGGGTAAAGATACAGACTCGAAACCAAAGTACATAAAACTTTTAATGAATCAACCTTACAAAAAGACAATGGCATCAAAACATCAGACGCGTTTGGTACAAAACTGGTTCTAGGTCGTGAGAACTAATCCTGGTGATGGATGGCACGAGACACGACAGAGCAAGGCGACAGGACCACGGATCCTGCTGGGGCCCGTGGACAGCCACTGGCGATGAGACACGTGGGTGAACACAGTCAAATCCCGTGTGGGGTGACAGAAATCAACTTATTCACAAATACTGTGTGTTTTACTATCAGACTAGCGGATGCGGTTGGCGAGCTACCATATTTTCCAGAAAAGAACATGCACCGGAAGATAATATACACCCCCTAGTTTTATTGCCTTAAGAATTTTTGTTTATTTCACGTCTGTCGTCTTTGCGAGTTCGTTAAACGTGTTTCTCCTATAACACACACTCCTTTTCCTTCTGCTCCGGAGTAAGCACAGTGCAAGTGGCAGCGCGATCTTGGCACACATCAGACACCAAACGATATGCCACCAGGGTCATAGGAACGAGTCTGAAAAGGCTCCATAGGACAGAACAGAGCACGCACATCAAAAACGAGGGACAAAAGTTGCAGTCAGAAAGTGCGTTGTACCTTCCCGAAAATACAGTCTTCTTGCCAAAATGAAGGCAGCTCTTCAGGATGCCAAGTTGCTCTGGGAAAGGGACCTTGACATTTCTGTGTTTACAAAGTATGTCTTCAGCTCCCCCTTGCCTTTCACGTTGATTATTCCCCGACACGTGCATGTGTATCCCAGGGTCTGGAGGATGAGGCTTGTCTCCTCGGTGACCTAGAAGCACACGGACAGATGAAGAAGCAGTCAGTGTCTCCGCCACACGGCCTCTGGGAGGTCGTTTGACCACAAAGATCAAGAGCCAAAAGACACTCACATTCTTTGACCCAACCATTCCACTCCTGAGAAATTAGGAGAAAGAATAACGCAGAAGAAGAGCTTTTTAAGGACAATGTGTAGTTTTGTGCTGTGACAGTGGCAGACTATGAACCACCTAAAAGTCAAGTGATCTCCAGGGTGAAGTGAACCATGAGGCTGTCATGATCTATATCGTGGACGAGACCGTGACATAAGGAGGTTTGTTTCACCCCAAAGGAAGCATGAAGTCTGGATCCACGTTATGATTTCAACTACGTGACAGTTATGTATTCACATATAAGAAACCAGGGAAAAAGAAAGTAAATCGGAACATGTTGGAGTGGTGGGATTCTGGATGATCTTTTTAAAGATTTTTTTTTTTTTTATTTGAGAGAGAATGAGAGATAGAGAGCACGAGAGGGAAGAGGGTCAGAGGGAGAAGCAGACTCCCTGCTGAGCAGGGAGCCC